AATAAAGATTTAATATGTTTTTAAAAAAGTTTTATTAGTAATATATTTTATTTTCTATGTAAATTTAAATTTACTGCACAGATCATATGACAAATGATCTATATGTACTCTACCCTTAAGTTACAACCTTATAACTTTAAGATTATCCATAAACCTGGACGAATCCATTTCAATATTGATGCTCTTTTTCAACTTCAGACTCAGAAAAAGAATCTAAGTTATTATGAATTTAGACCAGTATTATTAGTTATACCAGTATTTAGATACAGACACTATTCCCGAAGACTTAACGAGAATCAAAAGAAACAATTAATTAACCAAGCTTGATATTTCAAAATTAGATACCACTTACTTTATAAGAAGAATAGAAAGGATCCAGACAAACCATTATGAGTTATCAAATAGACAAAAGCAGAACCAGTTCTCTATATGTTGTATAAATATTCTACTGCTAGACATTTAAGAACAGATGCAATGTATAGTCAGACCTCCCTAAATACACTCTCTCTAAATGCAGCACCCCTCTAAATATATGATATAAACCTGGGCCCATGGTGGTACTTATAGATAAATGTACGTTCTTTATTCTGTAAGTGCACATTAATTGTCTGGCCCACTTATAAAAACTCCCTCCATAAATGCATCCACATGATTATCAACCAATCAAATCTATTATTCTAGACAATTAAAGACACATTTATCATGTGATAATAGTTATATGGTAATTTTATTAGTGTTTTTTAATTGCAACCCTCCCTAAATGCATGCTCTAAAATAGAGGTGCGATCTGACTATCCCAATTCTATCTGATCCAGATTTGATCCCTGAAAAGATAACCGATATCTGAGACCAGATAGGATAATAAATTCGTTATCCACATGACAGTTATCTGACTAATATAATTTTATTTACATTAGCACTATTTATCATTATTACAAAGCTAATTTCAATATACGGTACTTATTTTTACAAAGCAAATTTGTACGTAATACATTTACAAAGCTAATTCGTAATATCTGATATGTTTATTATAAATTCACAAATTCACAAATTCTATATAATAAAAAAATATGCTTATACTATTTAGAAGGATGGATATTCTGACATTTTTCAATATTTCTCTTTAAAAACATCATCCTTTTGAATAGTTCAGGTGTAATCCGAGTTCTTTTTAATGTTAATAAATTACTAGTATCACTAAACAAATGCTCACTAGGGGTTGAAGTTGCAGGAACTGGCAAGTATATTCATGCCAATTTAGATAAAATGGAAAATTTTTTTGAATACAAATCCCACCAACTTAAAGGATCTTTTCTCAAACTAATTTCCAGAATTCTGAAATATTTTTTAATTTCATTTGTTACTTGAGAATCGTCCTTTTCTAATGATTTTAGTAAACAAGAAGTATATAGAAAATCATCGCTAGAAGTACAATCATCCATTTTGTTAGCATTGTTTGAATTTTGATTTTCGTATTCACTATTTTGTAAAAAAAATAAAAATAAATAAAATAAAATAAGTTTTTAATCATAAAATTATACATACCTTAGATTTTCTTCATTTTCTAATAGTTTTTCATTATCATATAAGTTTCTAAGAATTCTTTCAGCTGCCAATTTATTTGTAAACTTAACAAAATCTAAAGATTTAAGTCGAGGATCTAATAGTGCAGATACTAATCCATGAGGTACTGGGTTAGAATAATAATAACAAAATATTGTGTATATTTTTGCTTTAACTTCACTTAGTAAGTCTGTAGTATTAATAGAATCATTTAGTATAATTTGTTCTTCATTAGTTGGCTCTTCATCATCATCAAATGCATCCTTCTCATCTTCAATACTTAAGTCATCTATATTAATGATCACCAGCTCAAACATTTCTTTTAATTTTTCAATAACACGATACATAAGGCTATGTGTTGAATAGTATGAACCACCCAAATATTGAGTGGTTTCTGCAAATGGCCCAAGAACTTGTATAAGATTTTTTAGTAAACCCCACTCTTGTTCTGTTAAATAAATTTTGCGCAAATATTTTCCATCTTTACACTTATCTGAGTTTTCATGAGTTGTAAGATGAATTATAAGTAGCTCAATATATGCCTTAATTTGTATTAAACGTATCCATGCTAGATATGAACTATTCCAGTGTGTATCACAATCAGCTATGCAATTAATTAAATAATCTGTAGTATCTTTAGCATCCTTTAAATATAAATAAATAATTATTTAAATTTATTTAAATTATATATATATATAGTAAGTAAAAAAAAAAGTATTTAAAACTTATCACAGCTGCTTTTTTTGGATTTCTTTTTTGGATTTCTTCTAATTGCTCTGATTGTTTTGGACGTAAGAAAAAATCAATCAAACGTTTTGCACAAATTATTAACGATCTAACAGGTAATAAAGCTTTCCCAATAACTAATTGTAATGTATGCGCACTACATCCTTGCTATAAAACTCCATCCATTTTTGCTACAGACTTTTTCATATTTAGGGCATTATCTGTTATAATTGAATGCACTTTGCCTATTAAATTCCAATACCAAATAATTTTTTCAACAGTTTCATAAATATTATTGGCTGTGTAGGGATATCAAACATGCTGTATAGCAAGAATTACTTCATTTAATTTAAATTGCTAATCTATATATGAACAAGTAACTCCAAAAAATCTACGACGATTTTTAGCTGTCTATAGATCTATTGTAAAAGACACTTTAATGGCATTTTCTTCAAGATGATTACATAACAATGGTATACAATAATTGTAAGCATGATGAATAATTTGTTTAACTAGCTTAGTATCAGGAATAACAAATGCTGGATCTAATTTATTTATAAATCGTCGGAATAAAGAATGCTGAATAATAATAAATGGCCGTGAGTCAGCAACAAGCCAATCAACAAGCATATTATTTAATTCTCATTGTTTTTTATCATTATGTGGTTGGATAAAACATGTTGATTATAATGGCTATTATTTGATATAAAAAAAATTAATATTCAATTAATGTATGTAATAATAATTAAAAATTATATACAGACCTCTTTTAGATGTAAGTTATCTTCTGTAACTTCATAGTCTGCTAATAGATACCTAATAAGATTGCTAGTTGAGGACTCAGTTCGATATGTTCATCTACATTCTACTCCAACTAATATTTCGATCTTACAAATAGCAAACTTTCCTCACTCTCCATCATCTTCTTTTCGAATCTCTAAATGAAAAAATTCTCATACCCAGCTAGTTCGATTTGATAAATCAACATTAAAAATTGTGCCAATGGGAACATCCTCTTGAGAGTCCTAAATAGGAGGATTATTGGACTTTTTGTTATTTGCTCGGTGCTTTCTTTTTTTAGTAATTTTGTTCATTGTTATATATATAAAGGATCATCCAACGCAAAGTAAATAGATTTAAATTGATAAATAAATTGATTATGGAATAATTACGTACATACATATGTATGTAATTACAATTATGACTAAATGGATAACAGATATTCATCGGATGATTCGGATAAATCCGATCCAGATTACTCCTTAATATGCAGTTATCTGTTATCCGTATAGGATCAGATTTTAAAGCAGATATCCAGATTGCCGGATTTCAGATTGCATCTCTACTCTAAAGCTAATCCTAATGACGTGTATTTAGGGAGGTCTGACTGTATTACAAAATAGCTGAACAATACTATTAAGACCAACTGTATCGAGATATTAAAAACTATGTACAGGCATATGAAGAATGCCAGAAAAGACAGAAAAGCCAAAGAGAAGAACCTTTACATCTGATACAAGTTGAATAAGCTTTTGAACAAATTGGTATTGACTTAATTAACCTCTACCTATAACTAAGCAGAACAATCGCTATATTATTATAGCAACAGACTATTTGACCTGATGGCTAGAAGCCCAAGCTGTACTAAACACCAAAGCAGAAACTTTAGCAAAGTTTATCTTTGAAGAAATTATCTATAGATATAGAACTCCCAAGATAATTCTATCAGATCAAGGAAGAAATTTATTAGTGAAACTATCCAAATACTATGCAAAAAGTTCCTTATCAAACACAAGTTCTCTTCATCATATTATCTACAGACAAATGGAATGGTTGAATGCCTTAATAGAATACTTTGCGAAGCACTTGTGAAGGTTAAAGAAATTGATAAATAGGATGTATATATATTTGCTGTTATTTTGACATATCAAACCAAGAGACATGCTATCACTAGTTATATACCCTTTCAACTAGTGTATAGTAGACAAGCTACACTACTTATTGAAACTATTATCCCTACTGTACCGATGCTGAACCCTGACATAGAAATTGACCTCCAGAATAGTATACTACAATGAGCCTATGAACTAATGAAAGAATGGCTGCAACACAAAAAGAAGCTTGAGTTAATACCAAAAAGTCACAACTGAAACAGAAAGAATATTTTGATGCTAGAATCAGACCAGAAGAATTTGAAATTGGTAAAAAAGTTTAGATACAACCAAAGGCTTTAGAGAAGTCAAGATTAGCTAAATTTGAAAACAAAAGAGAATGATCATTCATTATTTAAGCTAAGATGAATAATAGCACATATAAACTTTGAACATTAGAAGGAAAAGTTTTACAGAAATATTATAATAGTGATCGATTAGCAAAATACTATGAAAAACAGATATGGGAACCAATCGTAATTATTAAAAATCTTTAATTTCTAGAAGAAATTTTATTAGACAAAGAGAAACAAAGACAATTTTGCAAAACAGACAATCATACAACTTTATAAATTATAAATAGACTCTTTATTCAAAAATTCTCTAATTTATATACAATTAACAATGCATAACACCACCTTGCAACCTGTAACTATTCAAGCTCTCCAATACTTTCTTACTATTTAGAGACAAGACTCTGCTGCTCAGAACAACTTAGAAATTTGTTTCCAAAGTATTTTCTTGTAGAATCCTAACAACTCTAATAATACTAGTAATATTATTACGCTAGTAAACACTGCAGTGGACCTTCCATCTGAACTTATTGATATGGACATTCTCTTGGTTACTTGTCTACCTGAAAACTAGAAATTAACTCAACTCTAACCACCACTCCTTTCAAACCAAAAACTGAACCAAATACTGAAGTTTACCAAAAAGTTAGAGATGAACTAACTCAAACTCTAACTCCTCAATCAAATATTCATCCTAACTCTTTTATTGGTAAAACTTGGAAAGACCAATTAACCAAGATTTTATGATAATTAGAAGACAAAGAACTTACTTGATCCAAGCAGATAAAAATCATCGAAGCTTATTTGTACTTAGAAATTCTTATTCAGAAACAGACCAACAAACAACAACAAATTCGTGAACTTCTGCAGGCTTTTCAAGGCTCTCAAAAGACTCAAGATATTTGGAAAGGAGCTACTCATCTTCAACAAATCTTTAGTATTTGATCTAAAGAGTTGTTGTATCAAACTCGATACTTTACTGTCATCTATATTGTTAAGTTTACTGATAGAGAGTATCAGTTTTAATTAAGAATTTGCAGAGCAAATTTTTATAAGGTGACAAAAATATTATAGAACAGTTTTATTTTGGGTTTACTAAAATGTACTATAGGTGTTGAACACCATAGTTGCTATATCTCAAAAACATACTAGCTAACACATCTCTGGAGTATTAAATAAAAATGTTCAGAACCTCAAAAAACATTATGCTAACTTAAATTTGGGCCTTTATATCTAACTCCTATCTTACTCTAAAGTTGCACCCTAACCCTAAATTTTAGTCAAAAACATATTAACACCAACAACACCTATGGTGTATTTTATAATTACTGGTTTTATTTTATTAGTTTATTATTTTATTTTAGTATTATTTTATTATTTCAATATTTGTACTATATTTTATTAGTTATTATTATATTTATTTTAGAGAAAAATTTAAAAGACATGTATAATGATTAGCCTTAATGCTTAATGCTTAGCAATTAATAATTAGTAATT